CCCCCTATGTGTGTCCACAGGGCCGAGTGTCCCCCCTACATGTGTCCACAGGGCCGAGTGCCCCCCCACATGTGTGTCCACAGGGCCGAGTGTCCTCCCAGATGGGCGTCTGTGGCGCCACGTCCCTGTCATCTGAGTGCCTGTGTGGTGGCTCTGAGGTCACCTGATGACTTCCCTGCTTGCCACCTGGGTCAGCTGTCTGCTCTCTGGACAGTGCAGCAGTGACACCGCCCTTTCTGTGTGGCTTATTTATTTCTTTACCAAGAATGTCTGTGAAAGTCCGGTGGTCCTTTCCAGGTGTTTCTGAGGAGCTGCCTGGGAAGCCCAGGCCAGTGTATCCACCCCAGGACGCAGAGTGTGACCCTGTGGGATCTGAGCAGGCGGGGGGCCCTCTGGCCCTTCTTGTGTCAGATCTGGTCACCACTGGGATGAGGACAAGAGGACAGACAGCCTCTGAGGCACTGACTATAGTGTGGCCACAATGGCTTCCCAGTCACCTATCACTTCACGTGAGTGGACACATGTCACTGACCCTCCAGGCCACCTCCGCTGCTGGCCGGACCTGCACTGCTTTCTGCTCTGTCCACGTGAGCACCACAGATTCTGTCTACACCGTGAACCCTTTTGTAACCAGTAACCTCAGCCACTCGTGTTTGAGTCCCTGTTTTCCTTTTATAGATTGTATGGTTTTGTTAGTGGAAGAATAAAACAATGAATTCTGAATCTGTCTGAGGGCAGAGCCCGTCTCACCCTTCCTGCAAACAGTGACTGGAAGACATAGGTCTGGGCAGCAGGCGGGAGCGGCACAGGACCTTCCTGCGTGCCAAGGACAAAAGCCTGCCTTGGGCAGTGAGGAACTGCCTCAGGTGGGGACATTAAAGAACGGGATTGTCTTCTGAGGTCTTGAGAGTGAAAGTGAAATCAGGCTGTCGATTCCTGTCTTGTCAGCAGCGCTGGGGGTCTTCGGGGGTCCTCGACTCTACACAGCTCTCACATAGCACTCCCCGTGCCCCCTGTCTGTGTGGAAGTGTGTGTGTATGTGCCCCCGTCATTCTTTTTGAAGACTTGTGGTTTGGGTGCATATAAAAAAAACTAGTAAGTTTTCCACTCACGCACTTACACACATTTCTTTTCGTCACGTCAGTTACAACGCCCACAATGTAACTGCATCCTCTTCTCTTAATCGTTGGGATTCTCACCGCCACTCATGATTCTGTCCTGTCCCTTCCTACTCCCTGAGGCTTTCCTTGGGCAAGTGCTGCCCTTTGACCTTACGTGGTTTGTCATTCTAAAGAGCGAGTGTCTCCCTGCAGTCAGTGGCCACTTTGTAGGCATGTATCCTTTCACTGCGGTGAATTTTGTTCTAGGTTTGAAGAGTGATTCAAGGCTGTAGTCCCAGGGGTTCCAGTAGTCCCTACCGGAACAAGGAGTCTGGCCTTTTGTGGTCATGCGCTGTGTCCCACCTGCCCTTCTATCCTTGACCTTCCGTGTTCCTGCTCCGTGGAGGGTACGGGTGGCTGAGCACCATCTAGTTCTGGCCCGAGAGTCATGGAGGCTGAGAGCCGTGGGGCCCATTTACCCTGTATGCTGGTGGTTCGCTTCTCAGGGAGAGATCTATGGGTGAGCATAGGAGTTCCCCTAGTGGTGGTTCTGTCTGGGGCTTCCCTCCTTAGGCCATCAGAGTCACTACTGAATTAACAGCAGGAGGCAGGAGTTGATGGCATCCTAGCCTCTTCCCTGTGATGGGGTCCTCTTTGGAGCCAGGGGTCTGGTTCTGATATTTGTGGAGCTCTGGTGTCACCTTTGGTTCTGTGAGCAGAAGGGTCAGGACATGAAGTCCACAGCTGCTCTGTAGGATGAAGGTGCTCACTCTCATCTAGATGTCCACAGCCTTGACAGCCACAGCGAGGTGCTGGAGGTCAGCAGGCCTCTGCAGGGTGTGCACGCTTGTTAAGTGCTGTGCAGTCAAGTGTGACCCAGTAACCCTAAGAACACCGGATGTGAACTCTGTCGTCCCCTGTGCCGAACTCACTCTTACACCCTGGAGCCCATTTCTGCTAATCATTGCTGCTAATGCTAATCCAGTTCCTTGAGGGTCTCTTCACGGAACTTAGAATATTCTTGGGAGAGCTTAAGGTCACTTTATGTAACTAAACTGGCCAAAACAAGTCAGCCATCCCCATAATAAAGAGGTTATAAAATAATGAGAAAAAGTTCACCCAAAAAATGTCGACCTGCTGTGCTACACTTATACCAGAAGAGTGTTAGACATACGAAAGTAGCCTTAAAATTGTGTACAAAACCCTTGGCATCTACACTGTGGATGAAGTGTGCAGCGTGAATAGAGCGAGCATCCACCATCGCTGTGAAATGTGTGCTGTGTGTACAGAGAATGTCAAGCATCACTACAGAGGGTGTTGTGTGTACAGAGAGCGTTCAGCATCACTGTGGAGTGTGTGCTGTGTGTACAATGAACATGTGTCACCACTGTACAGTGTGTGCTGTGCTGTGTGTGCAGAGAATGTCCACCATCACTGCAGTGTACATTGTGTGTACAGAGAACATGCACAATCGCTGTGGAGTGTGTCCTGAGTGTACAGAGAAGAACATCTTCACTGAGTGTACAGAGAGCGTCCACTGTCACAGTGGAGTGAGTGTGCGCTGTATGTATGAAGAACATTCACCATCAATGCGCAGTGTGTGTTGTGTGTACAGAGAGCGTCCACTGTCACAGCGGAGTGTGCACTGTGTTCAGAGGAGAACATCCATCTTCGCTGTGGGATATGTGCTGTTGTACGTACAGAGAACATAGAGAACATCAACCATCACTGTGAAGTGTGTGCTGTGTGTACAGAGAGCATTCACCAACACTGTGAAATACCTTCTGTGTGTACAGAGAATATACACCATCACAGTGCAGGGTATATGGAGAATGTCGACCATCACTGTGAAGTGTGTGTTGTGTGTACAGAGAACATCCACCACCACTGCTGTGTATATCGTGTGTACAGAGAACATTGACTACCATTGTGAGGTGTGTGCTGTGTGTACAGAGGAGAACGTCCACCGTCACAGTGTACTGTGTGTATGAAAAAGGTCCATCCTCACTGTTTAGTGTGTGCCGTGTGTACAGAGCAGAATGTCCATCTTCACTGTGGAGTGTATGCTGTGTGTACAGAGAACGATCCCCATCACTGTGCACTGTGTATACAGAGAACGTACATCATCCTGTTGACTGAGGGCTGTGTGTATAGTGAGGGTTCATAACCACTGTAAAGTGTGTGTTGTTTGTACAGAGGAGAACGTCCTACATCACTGTGGAGTGTGTGCTGTGTGTACAGAGGAGGATGTCTTTTGTCACTGTGGAGTGTGTGCTGTGTGTACAGAAGAGAATGTTCATCTTCATTGTGGAGTGTGTATTGTGTGTGCTGAGAGTGTCCATCATCACTGTTAAGTGTGTACTGTGTGGACAGAGAATGACCATTATAACTGTGGAGTGCATGCTGTGTATACAGAGAAGAACGTTTACCATCACTGTGGAGAGTGTATTGTGTATATAGAGAACGTTCACCATCGTTGTGAATTATGTACTATGTTTACAGAGGAAAGTGTCCACTATCACTGTGGAGTGTGTGCTGTGTGTACAGAGAACATGCACCGTCACTGTGGAATGTGTCCTGTGGGTACAGAGAACATCCATCTTCACTGTGGACTGTGTCAGAGGAGAGCATCAATCTTCACAGTAGACTGTGTGCTATATGTACCAAGAACGTCTTTCATCACGGTGGAATGTGTGCTTTGTGTATACGGGAGAATATCAGCTGTTACAGTGGAGTGTGTGCTGTATATACACAAAAATGTCTAGAATCACTGTAGATTGTGTGCTTGTGTACCCAGGACAACATCTATCATCACTGTGGGGTGTGTGTGTGTGCT